AGAGGATAGAGACTGGACAAGCCGATTAAATTAACCCGGGTTTAATCGCCCTTGAACATGGCGGGGTAGAAACGTGGAAACGAAACGACACAAAAAAAGAAAAAGTAACAAAATTGATTACTGGCGCAATAGCGGGAGATGATGCAACGCGTACAGGGGTAGGCAACAGCTGCTGATGACATCAAGTCACCTTCGCAAACATGTTTCACACCGTGTCAGCTGGGATTTATATGGAATCAATAAGCGGCATGCGAGCTGATGATTGGTTATAATGAGCGGTGTCGTATGGCAGAAAGGTGGAATAGATAATAAGGAAGAGGAAAGAGGTTACGGGGAGTCGGTGGGGGCAACTGGCTAACCTAGCCCACCATGTAAGCTGCGCAGCACATATGTATCCAATAAAACGTCTTAAATCTGATAATAACATACACAACAGCATGCTTGACCATCATTGTCTACGATCACCTGACCGACGAATTAGAGTAACAGCAGAATACCAGGGCTACATGAATGAATGAATGAATGAATGAATAAATGAATGAATGAATGAGTGAATAAATGAATGACTGAATGAAGGAATGAAATAATAAAATTAATAATTCGTAATTTGTTAAGTGTGTGTGTGTGTGTGTGTGTGTTATGTGTGTGTGTGTGTGTGTTGTGTGTATGTGTGTGTGTGTGTGTGTGCGTGGTGTGTGTGTGTGTGTGTGTGTTGGGTGCTGCGATGTGCGCCAAGAGAGAGCACATAACGAGTGTTTGCATTTGCGCAGGAACGGGTCTGGCGTTCTCGGCTTATCCGGAGGCTGTGACGAAGATGCCCGTGCCTCAGCTGTGGGCCATCATCTCTTCGTCAGCTGGCTCACTCTCCGGTCTGGATAGCCCAGGTATGCAAGGCAGAGGAGCGAGGAAGAGAGAGGGAGCAAGGGAGAGATGGAGAGAAAGAGGTGGAGAAAGAGGGGGAGAGAGGGAGAGAAGGAGAGAGGGAGAGAGGGGTGTAAATAGGAGAATTACATATCCCAATCTTCACTTTTCTCTCTTATGTGTGTGCGTGTGTGTGCGTGTGTGTCGTTCGTGTTGTTGCGGGTGTGTGTGCGTGTGTTGCGTAGCGTGCGTGGCGTCCGTGTGTAGCGTGCCGTCCGAAGTGTGTGTGTGTGTGTGTGTGTGTGTGTATGCGGCGCACGTTCCGTGTTGTAGCGAGTTTCGTGCATGCGTGCGGCGTGTGTGCGGCGTAGTGTGCGCGCGCGCGTAGTGTGTGTGTGTGGTGTGTGTGGCGCGTGTGTTGGTGTGTGTGAGGCGCGCGTGTGTGCGTGTGGTACGTGTGTGCGTGTGTGCGTGTGGTGTGTGTGTGTGTGTGTGTGTGTGTGTGGTGTGTGTGTAATATATAAAATCATGTTCTATTATCTCTCTCTTTCTCCTCGGCGTCTGCCAGACATTCGTCATGGTAGAGTCGTTAACACTGCAGCTACTGACAAGTTTCCACTCTCCGTCGCACGCACAGGACGCTCACCATGATCGAATATAGCGTCGTCAAAATGTTCATAGCTAGGTTCTGCCCATGTGCGCACTAAGGTACGTCTATTATATAATTATATAAATGCATTACAAGCGTGTGGTTTGTGTTGTGGTTTGTGTTGTGTGTGTGTGTGTGTGTGTGTGTGTGTGTGTGTGTGTGTGTGTGTGTGTGTTTATGTGTGGTGTGTGTGTTGTGTGTCGGTATTGTGTGTGTTTGTGCATGGTGCTGTGGTGCATATGTGTGTGTGTGTGTGTGCTGTGGTGTGTGTGTGTGTGTGTGGCGATCGCGCGGCGGAGTGGTGTGAGTGGTGTTGTGTGTATGTGTTTTGCGTGTGTGTGTAGTGGTGTGTGTGCTGTGTGTGTGTGTGTGTGGGTGTGCGCGCGCGATGAAGTGTGTGAGTGGTGTGTGGTGTCTGTTGTTTGCGTGTTGTGTGTATGTGTGTGTGGGTGCGCGCGAGCGCGAGAGTGATGAGTGTTGTGGGTCTGTGGTGTGCGTTGTATGTGGGTGTGTGTGTGTGTATGTATGCTGTGCGCGTGTGTGTGTGTATGTGTGCTGTGTGTGTTGTGTGTGTGTGTGTGTTGTGTGTGGTGTGGTGTGTGTGATGTTTGATGTTATGTGGGATAGTGTGTGTGTGTGTGATGTGTATGTGTGATGTGTTGTGTGTGATGTAGGTGTTGTAGGGGGGGGGGTGCATTGAATGTGTGTGTGTGTGTGCGCGCCGTATGCTGTTGGGTTATGTGTGTGCGTGGCCCGCCGCGCGAAGAGAGAGAAAGATGAGAGAGAGAAAGAGACAGACAGACACAGAGAAAGAGAGAGAGAAAGAGAGACCAGACCGACCAGACAAAGAGAGCGATTGAGAGACAAAGACCAGACAAACAGACAGGAAGTAGAGAGGAGGAAGAGAGACAGAGAAGAGAGAAGAGTGATAGAGAGAGAGAGAGAGAGAGAGAGAGGAGAGAGAGAGAGAGGGGGGGAGTGAATGGTGATCGGTCTAATGCTTGTTGGCTATTCGCTACAGTGCGAGCATCTACCTACACCAGCTTGTCGAATCACGATGGCGTCCGCTGGTCTTCATCTTCAATCCGGCATCATTTGAGGCTAGATTCGCAATCTCCATGCTCATATGGTACCTGAATTCACAGCACGACGCACGTGACACACCACAACACAACACACACACTACACACACACCACACACACACACAGCAACACACAACACACACACACACACACACACACACGCGCATGCGAAACACACACACACCGACACACAACACACACAACACATACACACACACACACACACACACACACACATCACAACACACAACACAACACGCACACACACACACACCACCATGCACACACACAACATCACACACACACGCACACACACACACCCACACAACACACAAACACACACATACACACACACGCGGCGCGCACGCAAACACAACACACACACACACACACATCGCGCGCACGGCACCACGATCATTTTGTTATTATATGAAATTACACATAACTATATTCATATATACTATATCAGAGCTAATAAAAAAAAAATAATACCTTGCTATAAGAGCTAATGTTATATATAATATTATAATAATAATATGACTAGTATTTCACTTAACAGTCTAACAAACACGTGTACAATTATTATTATTAATAATAATAATATTATTATCAATATTATTATATATAAATCAAGCAACTATAAACTCTCTCCCAATCACGTGACTAACCGCCATCTGTTTTGGCGCGCGCGTAGATTCGGCCGCCCCCTGGTGGTGCGAGCGTTCCGACGGCCGTTCTACTGGCCGGCCAACAATGCGCCACCTGTTCGAGACGAGTAACTTCGGTGAGGATATCAGTATGATGGTCGGATATCCGCCCAACATCTACTGGCGCGTCTGTTGGCGTTTCATCTCACCCATACTCATCATTGTGAGTTGATTATAATATATATATATTTATTTATTTATTTATTTATTTATTTATTTATTTATACAGATCATGTTATATGGTAAAGTGATATATGTATATTATGCAGGAGTGGAATAATAGAGATCTCTATTATAAATATCTAATATTAATGCTATACATATCTCTATATATTATAGAGCAGAGAGATAGAATCTCTATTAACCACTCTGATATGTATATATATAGTGGGTATGTATATATGATATATAGTGCATTGTGAGCATATATATATATATAATATATATATATATAAATAGTTAATATGTTATTATATATATAAGGCCGGATTAGAATTGGTCACTCATACAGTCATTTCATTGATGCAATCGGCGGGTTGCGCGGTGAGCGCGCGTTCGTCATGCCATTCAATCGCGCCATGGACGTCATCACCCCACCCTTCGCGGTGACCGTCAGGTCAACTCGCGCGCACGAATGTCATCGGGTGTTTCGGCGCTGCTTGCAGGGCGATCTGCATCTACAGAGCTGGGGAGCTACTCGGCCGATCAGTGTGACGGCTCGACGTTACACGTTACCGCGCTGCGGGGCGCAGGCGGATTGGCTGTTCGCTGCGCTAATGCCGTCGACCGTTCATGATCCGGCTCGTGCGGCATCGTCATGCTGTGCAGCTGAAGAGACCCCCTCTCGTGTGGCCAGTGAGGCTCTGCTGTACGACACACAGGCACAGAAGCGCGCGCACACACAACTCCACACACACCACACGCACACACACATACACATCTAGCACACAATACCACACACACGACACACACAACACACATCACAACACAAACACACACACGCAAGACACATGTACAGCACACACACGACACACACACACGGCGCGCGCACACCACACCACACACGCGCCACACGCACACACGCACACACACACAACACACACAACGACGCGCGCGCGCGCACAGTCGGCGCGTGACACACACACAACACACACACACCACACACATAACACACTCACAGTGTACAACACGCCGACAACACACACACACACACAGAGCACACAAATGGCTACACACACACAGCACGACGGCACACACACACACACACACGCACACACACAACACACACACACACACATCACGATACACGCCACACACACAACACACACACACAGCATAAAGCACACACAGCACCACACACACACACCGACACACACACACACACACACAACGCACACACACACACAACACACAGCATACACACTATAAGTAGATATATATAATCATAGATACAATTGTATAAAAATCAGTTCACTCTACCGTGACACTCGTGATCACTTGCTTCTCCAAAAATCACTTGTTAGAAGAGTAGCTGACACATGGACATCTGTAAATACAGTGTAGTGTGGTCCAATCAAAGAAAAGCATGGATTAGTGAAGTTTGTCATGTTTTACTACTTCTTCGGCCAGATGAAACGGCTCTTACGTTTCTTTGCCAGATCATTTCTTTATCTCTCTATCTCCTTTTCTCTCTGTGTGCTATCCTCTTCGTTGTCTATATATCTCTCTCCTATCTATCTCGCTTTTTTTACTGCACTTCTTTTCCTCTCTCTCTCGCTATCTCTTTCTGTCTTTCTCTCCCTCCCCGCTCCTGTTCCTCTCTCTCTCCTCTCTTGCTCTCTCTCTCTCTGTCTGTGTCTCCCGTCTCCGCTCCTCTCTCTCTCTCTTCTCTCTCTCTCCCGCCTGCTCCATCTCTCTATTTCTCTCTCTCTCGCTCTCTTACACTTCTAAAGCTGTGTTGATTAGCAAATGTAACCAGCTCCGGTTTTTCTCTAGCCGTTGCAGAAAATTTGCTTTGCTCTTGTCAGCCGCTGAAGGAGTGGGGACCAGCACTGGAGCCAACATCGTACGGGTATGGTACAAGCCTGCGCCGCCAGAGGGAGCCCTGAGTGTCGAGAAACACAAGTCCCAATCTATACGCATGGACACGGACGGGAGTGGACGCGCAGGCGTACCGTTAATCCCGCATACCAACAACTCACTGGAGACAAATCTAGCAAGTCTCGATACTCTTCCGATACATTCGTCGCCGAACGCTCCGATACGTCGATCGTAATGCATACAATCATATCACTTCCGATCTCTTCTTATACGGACTCGATGTTCTATTTTGCAAAGCTGGGTAGCTATATAGCAAGGCACTAGGGGCGTAAATGTGTGAACAGTTCAACATGACATCGCCGACAACAAATACAGAGCAATATTGATGTCATCAGGAAGAATCTTCCGTACTGGACAGCATAGTGTCAAGGAAGAAGCGTATATGCGTTATGTCGTCATAAGATGCTAGCAAGAACAGGCTACATATAGAGAGATCAGTGCCATATTACCCGCCGATCAACGATGGCGCTCAATGCCATCAAGATACAATTTGATACGAAGTCGGTTCGAATTACGTTTTTACTACGCGTATATCTTTTACACCTTGGTCGTAAGAACTATATACATACATGTATGTGCGTCATTGGCGTGTGCAGGTACGTGCGTCGTGCCGTGCATGTTGGCGTGATTGTTGTCGGTTTGTAGTTAAGTTACTAACACGTCGAGTAAGTAGAAGAAATTGCACTTGACCAATCGCCATGTCGGGTCCTCTCAGTATTCGTTATGCGACGCCACGCGTCGCACATTGTTCGGCGCGTTTTGCCGGCAGCGATGGCGCCACATAACCGGCGTGTGACGAACATGTGTCCGTGAGATTTGTTGGCAACTGGGTCGACCCGGTGTGTAAGTACGTGTCGTGTTTTGCAAAATGTGAGATCCAGGTTTTGAAAGCTGAAATTACTCTGCCATATCAGGTTTTGCCAAGCACCTAGCCACCCTCCCGGTATCAACATAGATATAGACAATTATGCAAACATACACCAGTCACATATTATATATACATTACAGGCTTGCTTATAGTGCTGCTGTGTATTCTTGTATTTCGTATATTATAGACGTTGTGAAATTTGCCAATTGTATTTTTATACGAACTACTGACTTTTGTGAACCGGGGAACTTACCGCAACACCACCCGCAGCAATGTGCGTGTAGTATCATGCGGTCACTAGCCACTGTGTAGCTATGCCAAAAGACGCACGTGGCGGCCCTCGCGTCGACTGAAAGGTCAGATAAAAATGTTAGATACGCGTCCGTCCGGGAACGAGTGACGCGTTATTCTTTCTGCTCGATTTCACTACTAATTCCGGTAGGCCAAAATTCAAAACTGTTCAACAGAAATATGTTTATCACGCAATTACAGTACGTTTCAAAACGATTGTGATGTGCGCCATTTATAGCTGAACTCCGATGTTCTCGACATTCGTGATGAACTCTGAACTGTCTTTCCGAAATTCTCGCTTTCGTATCACACTCTTTAAACAAAGGCCAAGGAGTTTCAGGAAAAGTTTACAGTAGTTCGCCAGAGAGAGAAGCGCGCGCGAGAGGAGCGCGAGAAAGAGAAGGAGAGAGAGATAGAAAGAGGAGAAGAAGAGAGAGACAGAGGAGAGAGAGCGAGAGAGAGAGAGAGCAGAACGCGAGGGAAAGAGAGAAGAAGAACGAGACGAGGAAGAGAGAGAGACGCCGCCCGAGAGAGAGCGAGAGAGAGAGCGAGAAAGAGAGAGAGACGAGAGGAGAGAGACGAGAGAGAGAAGAGAGAGAGAGCGAGAGAGAGAGAGGAGAGAGACGAGAGAGAGAAGGAACGGAGAAGAGAGAGAGAGAGAGAGACTCTGATATGCACAAGTTTTTCCCACAGTCCTCCCTATCGCCTCTACACAGTCATTTTACACTTTCTATCGGCAAGAAACCCAATAAAAAAACTTATTTTAAAGGTTTTGAGCAACTGAGAAATTTTCCGGGATCAAAAAAGCGCGCAAAGCATATAAGATCTCATTTACGTAGTGAGTAAGTACAAGTATAGGCTTCAAAGCGCAAGAACTCTAGTCGATTTTGCTACAACACACGTCCAGCACAGGCGGACTTTCTGCTGTAACATCGACTGGCTTCCAAGCAGTGAGAGGAACTCTTGTAGATATGATTTTAACCTCAAACTGTAAAACTTCGGGTAATATTTTTTCTAAGCTGTATTGTTGTTCGTTGCGCTGGGTTTGACCAAGGCCTATAGATAAACAGTGTGATATTGGTGTATATATTGATATTCATATTATATAGTGCTTATCTATAGGCCTTGGGTGTGACGTCTGGTGCCATTGTGTGACGTTGTCTGAAGTTGTGTGACGTTGTGTCACGTGCGTCGTGTGAAGCTGTGTATCGTCGTGTTACGTGACTTTGTATAGGGCCTATATATGATGCGACGCGTGTTACATGTATGCCGTCGTAGCGCGTTACATGATGTTTCTTTATGTAGAAATATGTAGTTAATGTACGTGAATTGAAATAATAGTAACATATCTGTCGACTTCCGGTATATAAGCTCACCCGCCGGAAGTGCAGGCATAATGCGCGTGAAAATACGGAGACGTGTTTTTTAATAAGTTTGTTTTTAATAAGTTTCTTTTTAACTAGCGTTCATATTAACAAGAGCCGATAATACTTTCATAATACAACGGCTATTGTATTTCATAATAATAATAATACAATTATGTTAAAAATAATAAAATAATTATAATGCCACAATACAATATTATCAGGAGTAACTAGTCGATAACGGTCGAATCACTTGCTTCTGATACTTTAATCTATTAATGCAGCCTGGTTACAACATGTTATTTACTGCTGACACTGTAATATAAACAGGAGCGAATAAACCCCGAATGTGTGTTTATTCTCTTCTAATATAAATGTACTATGAAGCCCAAAACATTGATAATATTATTGTCTGGAAGGAGTGGTTAGCTATTTTTCGATACTATAATAGAACGCGGCCATGACACAAACACGTGTCACTTTCCCCTCTGTCCTCATGATATATATAATTATATATA